GACAAAAGAGCATCAGCTAGTTCGCTCTGCTTTTACCGTAAATTAAAACCGCTTTTCAGGTTAACTGCGCCATCTTTTCAAACTCTTCCCTTCCCACCCCTATCCTCTCTATAAAAAGTGTCCAATCTCTAGGCCAGGGCCCAGTTTCACAGCATTATAACAATGAGCAGAAAAGTTAGGTTTCTGGTCTCATTGAATGTATCCTCACGCCTGGACAGACCCACAAGTTTCAGTCTCTTGTGGACAAAAGCACTCAAGTAGGAAGCCAGAAGTCCCCAAAGTTGATCTCCAGGAATATTTCTACAATCATATCAAACTAATACTTAAACCGTTTTGTGAATATGAAACTTAAGTCTTCATGCATGTTATAACTAGACGTTCCAAAACAAGTTTATATGAATGTCAAGTTAGTCATGATTTTGAAAGCCATTGTATTGACTGAACTTTCTAGCAAAGTGCCCGTTCGATGTTAACACAAACAAAAAACCCAAACAACACCACAAAAAATAGGTCTCCAAATGTGCGTTGGATGGCTGTTTGGGGGGATTTCAAAAAATTACTTTGAAAGACTATTTTCAATATCCAACTGCCCTCTGCTACATACCATGCTTAAGATTGAAACTCACACATGCACAAAATGGCAGATAACATTCGGAGTTATTTTAATGAAGGTAATAATTTACAAATAAAAACGAACCACCGTGGTAGCAAGTGAACTTTGGCCTCTGAGTTCAGATTGTCACATTAGCCTCATCACATGTCCCTTGTCACACTAAATCTGATACTTCATTTACTGTTTCAGAACAGGGTCTCCATCATTCCTTTAACACCCAAGGTTATTTTCGCTTTGCTGTAGAGGACAACGCATTAAACATAATTTCTGAATTCCATTTTTGAAGAGAAAAGCTGATTAGCTTTTTAATTGATCGAAATTTCCAGGTGTAAGTATCATATGCCTGAAAGTAAAATGTAATTTTTCCAATTATTGTTACTGATTTCAACAAGTGTCCTAAGCACTAAAAAAATTGGAACTTTGATTCAAATATCAAAATGTTTTAAACATTACCATAGCCTTAATTTGTATCATAATAACTTACAAAGATAAATCACACAATTTACCAGAAATTAGTTCTCAATATTATCAGTAGTAACTCATACACGACTTGCAGTCACAAGTCTGGAATTTACAAAACACATAAAATAGGCAGTTTCATGAAGATTTACACTGAGAACACACATCATAAAGTTACACCATCTATAAAATCTACTTTAATTCCAACTGATCTGGGTGAGGTTTGAACTGATAACATTAAAAAGAGGTCTAAGTAGCCCCACAGCAAGAGCTTTTGGGGATGTGCGCATTCTACAGAAGCCACTGGCTACTTTTTCCTTTAGTTGGGGAACTGCGAAGGCAAATTACCAAGAACACAGCAAATTTGTTGCATTTCAAAACAGTCAGAGCTAACACGATTTGGCAAAAATAGCAATACTGTGCCTCGAATTAAACAATTCTAACATTCTGAGTTTCTGTTCGGATGAAAAGATGATGAGATTTAACAAAAGTAAGTTTGGGAAAGTCAATTGAAGATCTCAGATGTTCATGATTACATCAATGATTTTTATCTCATATCAAATATTGGGCATTCTTGCAGGTGGAGATTACAAAAATCAGTCTTGGAAATTTGTCGTGAGTGTTCTCATTTTTGTCAAAGAAAAGCTAAACAGACTAACTCGATGACTTTTCAATTCTCCACATTAGCTTAAGTAATCATTCTTGTTGGCACTTGAGACTTTTACCTACGGCGCGATTCAACATTCCCTTATTCATCCATGTCACCCACTTGTAACACTGAAATACCGGTACAACAGTTGCAAAACTGGAAACAGAATCTCTTGAACTGACACCCCATCTTCCTGATTATTCTGAGCCAAAAAGAGACAGGGAATACCGAATTCATAAACAGGTCACGCACGGCTTGTTCATCAGTGCATCATGCATTAATAAATAGGCTATCTGTACTCTACATTGCACTGGTTAAAAACTGGAGAACTGCTAAAATTATGCATTACTAAGTCACTACGTCTATAAGAAAGTTAAACCACACTTATTGTTTATTAGGCCAGTACTTCATAGAAATTACACAGTCCTTTTTACATTCTCAACACAATCCACTCATGTCCGTTCAGTCTCACTCTTTCTCATCCTGCCTCTTACAGAAAACGACAAGAACGGAATAATAAAGACACTCTCAAATATTACTTTCCTTCTTTGTTGGTTTTTTTTACATAGTATGTACACACTTTGTTTCGTGTCAAGGGTTACACGAGTAGAGTCACTAAATGTGGTAAGGATCCTCACTGCTGTGAAGCACATGTACACTGATGTCCACAGCTGCACGTACATTTCCACAATCCCTACCAAACTCGGGGATATATGTACACTATAAAGCACTTTTTTCTGGAGTGATTGCAGGCAGTACTTCTGACATAAAGACAAATCGATAATTTCAGATCAAGCTTACAGGAAGTGAGGATCAAGGATGAAGCTCTGGTCGTTTCCTTGATGAAAGATGGTGGCGGACATGTCTCTGAAGAGTTCATGTCGAGGGGAAGTTTCCATTTCTAGTTTTTTCCATTACCGTAGGAAACAAACGATTACCAAAATGATACCTCTCATATCACATTCAACAATAAATACAATAACAAAAGAAATTTTTTCAACCTTGACAATCACACAATTTCAACTTTCAAAGGGAGCTGTTAACAATCCAAGTAATTGTCCTTTAACATTGCTCTCAAAGCAACTGGACCAAGGCGGCGTAAATAACCTTTACGTGCAAAGTAAAATTCATTGCAAATCGAAAACTACAACATGACTGGAAAATCTGGGTTTGTTAATGTGGAAATGTCTTAAGAGTCACACAATAGGCCAATAACATAATAACGTCAGACTTTGTTTACATGTGTGCTTTCAATGGGAAAGCACACATGTAAACTAAGCATTATGTCAGGTTTTCTAATGCAACGGTCTCAACAACTGAGATCACTTTCACCGGCTGAACACCCAAACGGACTCAAAGTCTCTTGACCCTAAAAGGGCCCGGCATGTTCAGACCATCACACAGGCTGAGATACCCACTTTTTGAAACTCGGTACGCATGTAGAGACACCCATTGCGAGCGCATCTCAAGGTGCTCTCTGTCCACTCCAGATATTCAAACCCACGATGATGACCCTCTGCCGCAGCTGTCTCCTCCTGGAAATTCTTGGCATTACCAGCCACCTCCATCCAGCATCATCATTCCAGTCAGACGGAATACCACAGAATTAATTCTTGAGGAACTGCAAGAAGTCTTTAGTCCGCCGTTTAGTCTTTGTACAGCTTTATGACTTCCCCGACGTGGGGAGATGTCCGTTGTTAAAACAAACCAACTTCCTTCTTGATTTTGAGTTGTTTCCACGATGGCATCTTGTAGAAATCCTCCTTGTCCATGTTAAGTTTCTCCTGTACATTAACGCAAGAAGAACATATACAATGAGAACTGACATTTGACCAGTAGACTACAAAATGAAATAAAATCTGGTAACTTAACATCCTTGCCACAGAGATTGAAAAAGGTTTCTTTGTTGTGATCTTGCAGAGTCATGAAAGGAATAAAGACAAAACTGGCCACAAATACCAGACGCATCTACTGCAGTAACTTTCAGAAAAGAATAAAGCTACGACCTCCTTTTACCACAAGTTTTGTTTGGAAGAGTCCCACAGTTTGTAGATATTTTCGAGAAGGTCTGCCAGAAATAAACGCTTCTATGCTCTTCCCTGTCCAACACCTCATTCCTATTACTCCATAGACCCATTGGGAGATCCTCTCACCTTGAATTCTTCAAGCGAAAGGTACGTTTCCAGCTTGAGGGGATCCACCCCGTCGGGCAGTGGCCTCTTCTGAAGTTCGGCAAACGTGTACTGGGCTTTGGTCAATTTCTCCAAGACCTCGCTGACAAGAATGGCCCGATCACCACTTTTCCCATCCTGTCCAAGCAGATGGAAAAATTGAAACATAATTATTGCTTCAAGTCAAAAAAATTGCAAACTCTTGAAGGCGCACTACTGTAAAATGTCAATATTATCAACTTCCCTTTCCAGAAGGGTAAAAGTGACATACATCTCAACCTAGCCACTTACATATATGTGATGCTTAGTATGGCAATATAACTTTGCTGGCTTAAAATTCAAACCCTGACATTGTGCTTGAGATTTCTGGTCCCCGCTCTAAAGTTAAGACAAGAGTTCAGATCCTAAAATCGAAATCTAACCCAGGGTCACCCTCGGGTAAACATGCCCTAACATTTGATGAGCTAGAGTGTAAGGATGACTCCTTAATTTTCTCTCTCAGAATTTAGTGATTTTGTGGAACCAGTATTCTACTTTATGTGACCCTTTCCCACAAACTGATAGTCCAAGTTAGTAACCCTCTCGAAAGCAAAACAAACACAAATTAACAGGGGTAAGTATCACTAGGAGACCCGACCCACACCACATGGGGGAGGAAACTTCTTGATCTACTTTACCTTTTTGTTAATTTCAGCTACATCCTCATCAATTGTCCACCATGGGAACAAATTGATGAAGGTCAAGGGCTCTAAGCCTGCATAGACTAAGTACGCCTTGGGTGGGCTCTTCCTCCCTTTTTCTGAGAAATGAAGGCAAGAAAATATAATGACATGTTGTAAATCAACTCAAACCAAAGTGGTAAGACTGACTGACTCATTATGAATACACACCCTGTAGTCAACTTCCTTAAAACTTGCTTTCTTGGACAACAAATATCTTTTTTTCATGGCAGCATGCCTAAAGCCCATGCAGTGTGGTATTTCCTCTCCACGGTAATACATCACAAAAATCAATATTCATTAAATGCTAATGAGTTGTGACGACACTTCCATTTTTACAGTACCGGACTGGACTCGCAGGGAAAACAGGTACAAAAGCAGTGTTTTATTAGCATCAAAATGGGTACTGCATGGGTTATATTGATATGTGCCACTTTTATCAGACTTGGCTCTTCTGAATAAAATTCAATATGAGAAAAGTTAGCATCGTTGGAGTTGGTCTTTAAAAATGATATTAAAACACAGTCAACCAATCCCGATGTATTAAATTTCTTGTGGGAAACAAACTGTGTAGCCTTCAAACGAGCAGCACTCCAAAGCTTGTCAGAACTAGCAAAATCTTAGGCTTAAAATGCGAACAGTTTTGACTTTACTCAAAACGACCAATTTGCCTCATTGTCTCTCCCAGCCACACCCACAAACCCCACAGTAGGCAGGCCCACCTTTGCAGTATGCCATGACTGTTTCCATTGCACATCTCCTGTCTATGTCCCATCTCATCTTGGCAGACCCTGTCTTTTTGTCTTGGTCCTCGGGCCACCAGCCTTGCCACAGGTACACCTCGTAGTGGTTGTCAAAGAGAAACTGGGCTGTGAGATGGAAGAAATCACCGAAACACTTCAGAATTTAGACTTCAAAATGAAAAACAGTCAATGTACAGAAATTTGAGAGTTCAATATTTTCCAAGCTCTAATTCTGTTTTACAGGGTTTTTTGTAAGTAGTGGCTTGTACGTAGAATTGAAGTAAATCTGTGCACTTTGTAAATTTCACTTACTGTTTCATGTCATGTATAAGAATATTTGAAGGTTGTTAATTTTGTAAAATCACACAAAATGCACTACTGTCATCAAAACCTGGGGCCAATTTCATAGAACTGCTTAAGCACAAAATCTGCTTAATAAACCAAGATTATCAGCTCCAACTCTGATTGTCACGCTAACCAAAAAACGGCTAAATACAATGCCAAAACAATATACATCACATGGAATGTTGGCTGGTTACTTGATTTATCAAGCAAGGTTTTTTCACGCTTAAGCAAATTTTGTGCTTAAACAGCTCTATGAAATTGGCCCCTGCAGGACATCAAATCAGTAATTATAATACGACATATTTACAAAGTGCACTGTATTACCAATGGCCTCTCAATCTGCTTTACAACATATCTAATATCTCTTCTCATCTGGCCCATAAGCATTCCTCACAAACACCTCTGCTCCCTGAGAGTATAAAGCTTGATGCTGCCATTTTCAGGCACGAATGGCTGACCATCACCTCTGCCCCCTCACAGGAACCCATTATACTCCTGGGTGGAGAGAGATGCCTACATGTAGGGGTACAATGACTTTCCTAAGGTGACAACATGTGACTAGCTGCTCGACCGGAACACCCAACATTATGATAAGGCGTCACATTATTCACGTATTATTATTCATTGGTTTTACCTGGTTGAGATGCTCCATACAGGTCTGTCTGCAGGAATGGATAGGGAGTGAATGCCTCCTCCGAGCGAGACTGATTCAAGATTTCAGTGGCAACAAACACGCCAGACTTGCTGGTCAGATGAAACAGCCTTGGGGTGTAGTTGTAAACCAGAGGATCTGCGTGTTAAACAGTCAACATGTACTTGGTTCAAAACAGTTTTTGCAACAGGTGCGTCAGGTGGGCCTGAACCTATTAGCAGTCTACAACAGCCCAGGTCAGGTGTCAGGTGCTTTCAAGGCACTCTGCTGAAATCCAACAGAATCCAACAACAGAAAAAGTGGAAAGCTGCAACAAAAGGCCTTGTGTTCACTGCTCACTTCAACAAATCCCACAGAAAGTAACCACTGCTGGATATTGTGGGGTTCAGCACGGTTAGGGTTAAGCACCTAGATTTCCAGTGAAACAGAGCTTTGCAGAAGAAAATTCTTAACCACTGTGTCAAAGATCCCCATCTTCAACCCACAGGTTGTTTGGGTCAAGTTGGATCAGACACGCCCAGGTGAACATACATCAGTTCAGGGTTTTCCTTTCTTCCATCAGCCAACGGAATCAACTCACCTCCTATTGCACTATCATACGCACTTCGGTCCACCCCAAGGATCTTCTTGAAGGTGCCCGTCTCGTGTCCTTCCTCCATCTCCTCAATGCTAACTTCCCAATCACTCGTCAGTCCCATCTCCAAAGGTTTACTGAATGATAAGGAAAAGCAATTTGTTAAAACACTGGGCTACTTCGACAGGTGATTGGCATTGCCAATACACTTTCACAGTAAGTAAAACAAAGATAGGCAAATCCACTGTTGGCCACCTGATGGGTCAATCATGTGGCATTAGGTCACAGTATTTAACTTTCCCCCAATACAACAGGGTTATGAAAGGCATGCTAAATGACTAATACACTTGCAGATGAGGCATGTAGCGTTCACCAGTGTGTATGATGGCACTGCCCTTCAGCAAAGGGTGCCTTGCATTGTTGGAATAATGCTACCTAGGCAGGAATTTTCCATTCAGTCTAAGACAATACCTTCAATACCTTCAAATGCATGTCCAGTTTCACTGGGCACAGAGTGTGGTGGTGTATTGGTACATGGCAGAAATTGTGATCAGTTGAATTTGCGTTTACTGTAGGCGACGTCCTTTCTGTGACTGAACTACATACATCTGTCTCACTCACTTTGTCTTCAGCATGTTGGCGGCGTGCACTGCCACAGCTCTTGTAGCCTTAGGGGACTTGGCTCCGTGCCAGACGCATATCGCCGCTTTGTTAATGCTGTCCTTGAGGTTCAGCAGCACATAGGAGGTTCGGGAGCGTAGCTGACTGGCTTTGCATTGTGTCTCTGCCAGCAGTCCTTCCTCGGTGTGTTCGCTGCGGACACAGTACAACCTGTTGGGGCCTAAGACCGAAACAATCCAATCAAGAGATTTTGGATTCACTTCTGAATCTAAATAATGAATTATCATCAGGTTTCAATAGAGATGATTTGAATTTATTATTTTCAATTCTCTTCAACTAACAGCTGTTACTGTTGCCTTTGATTTGGTCTTGCCAGTTTGATAACAAGCACGTCAGTCACCAAGAGGGGAGGAGCCTGGACAACAGCCCCCCCCCAAAAAAACAAAAAACATGGAAAAAAAAGCACAAAAAACATCTACTGTTCTTGTGACATGTCTCCAAGCTGGTACTGTGGCCCTCTAGCACCCAAAACTGGCAACTAGGCTGTAAACAAGCTACATGTACAAACACACAACATGGAGAAGAGGAAAGATGGGGCACAAGATTCAGCTGTGATTTTCATGAAGTGGCAAGCTTCCCGCTTATCTCCTCGCTTCAACTTACCGGTGGTGTTAGTTTCTTCGTCTTCCCTCTTGCCGATGTGTACCACCATTCTGCCGTCAAAGAGCTGCAGGAAGGCTGGAGGCTCTTTGCCTTGAATTACCTGGGAATCCAAAGAGAAAAAATTCCACTTCATAATAAATCTCTTGCGCATGATCATTTCTTTTCATACTTTTTTCTTTCGCTGGAATAAACCCTACATTCTAGAGTCGCAAGTTGACAAAAAATCATTAAAAAAAAATACTGGAAAGAGATATGGCACATACATCAGAAGCTGAATACCTAAGACAGGTTATGATGTTTTTATTAAATTACAATTACAACCATTATTTCATTGAACTACACGGAGTGATTCTCAAAACCACAAATTTTGGTGTGATTTGGAACCCTATATGCAAAGCCTGGAATTGTCGTAGCACCAAATGACCATTTGCAAATCCAAGAAACAACCCTGAAATATTAGACAGCTCAAATTTTGATTTCTGATGTGAATTCAACCAGAAAGGGTCCGGCTCTCCACCTGTCTCTGAGGTCCTCTCTCCTCATCCAGCTCAACAGTCATGAGTGCTGAGGCCCCCTTCTCATTGATGGTGCTACCCAGTCCCTGCCAGAAAAAGTAGGCACATCGCTCCCGCCCGTGGCCTTGGCCCCGCCTGGAGATGTTGCCCTTCAGGTCTCGCATTCCTAGAAAGATGAAATAGAATGGTAAGTGTGGGCATTGATGATGAGCACCTGGGTCTAACTAAAAAAAAAGACCTGCAGACCGAGACAAAGATCACAGAGATATTCATGTTTTAGCGCTGGAAATAATGTAAACAGTTTCAGACTGACAACAAGCAGTAAAATGTGTAAATCACAAAAGTTGAAGATAACTGAGGAAGCCTGTGTTACCACAGCATCAGGTCGTCTAGATTTTTTACTGAAAGATATAACCATAATCCGGCAATATTCTGCATTTCAATGGTCATGGGGTGATTTGGGTAATTTATTGTCTCTTCTATTAAGAATAGTACACTAATTTTCTTTTTTTTTTACTCAACTACGAGCAGGTGTATTGCCACGGTTTTGTGTGCCCATTTCTGAATTAACTTTCTGACCCACATAGGTTAATTAACAAAAACTAACCTGTGTAGACATTATAGTAAATTGAAGAATATTTAAGGAAACAAACATTTTCACCATACTTCTTTTTCTTTTTCAATCCAATCGCCTTCACGATTTTGTTTCAGTCAGCAACCTGATTTGCTCTTCAAATTCCCACCCATTTGCAATCTACTACTCAGTGTTCCCCTCGACTCCACTTCTATGAGTGAGGACTACAAATGATCTCCTTTGGCCCTACCTGTGCTCTCGACCCTGTACTGCCAGCGTACCACATATGTGTCGCCCTCATGAAACTGACCAAAGCTTTCCTGGGGCAGAATACTGTGCTCATATTCAAGAACGTGCCACACGACCACCGACAAGGTGGTGATTTCATTGCCGCGCTGGTCAATCTTCTCAAAGTGTGCTGCAGTTAAAAGAAACCCCCAGAAGCAGTGAGATTATGAATTGCTGAATGGGAAGGAACAGGTTCAGAAATTGAATTTCCACTTGTCCAAATGCATTCAATTTTGTTGTGGCAATTTCCAAAAAGGTCAACTGTAAGTTTGCCTTGTTCTTCACTACCTTGGGACACTATATTTGCACTAATTTTTGTTCTCATCTTATACTCAAACTAATCCTACTTTTTTCTGAGTTTTCATTAGATTAAAAGAACGGTGATCTTTATTACCTGTGCCTGTTGCGGCCTTGGATGAACTTGAACCTAACAACCAAAAGAAACAGATTTAAAAAGATTTGATTTTCCAATGTTCAGTTTTCAATTAAATTTCCACAACGTTTACATTTTCCACATCAATGCACAATCAGAAATCCCGGGAGTTCCGACAGATTGATGGCTAAATGACTAACCATTAACTATTATCTGAAGAACAGAAATGCACCAACAAATGGTGACTGAATAATGTGAGGCATCAGTCACTTTCCTGAGAATTCACAGGAATCCCTGGAATCACGCACCTTTCCCTCTGCCAAGGTTGGTGTTTTCCAGTATCAGATGGTTGGATTCCTTGCTGGGGTGTATCATCTTGGCAGCATCATATGGAACCAACTCTGGAGCTGCTTCAGGCTGCCGTAAAAATCAACCAAAAGATTTACCCAAAATAATTGCCATAAATATTTAATGGTACAAACTAGCCCTTAATTACAACATGTATGGGATCAAAGCACTTCAGCAGTTAATTTCCCCTTATCTATAATGAATGAGGTTTAGCATTGCAGGCAATCTGCTCTTCAGACAATCAGTTTCTGTGGTCCCATGATGCCTTGCAAATCTTGCTGTCTGCCACTAATGCAAGGATACTGCAAGGATACTGTGCATCCCTGCAGCAAATTTTCAGTTTTGTACTCAATCGCCGGGGGATGCCAGTTGAATTGCGTTCTCAAAAACGTAGGAACCCGGCGAGAAAAGCCACTGACACGTTAACCATATGCTGCCGGGTTTAATTTTAAGTTGCATGACGTATTCTGGGGGATTTTCAAGACTTTCCGTTTTCAAAATTCTTCAAAAATTCATAACTTTATTTACTGGACGTTTACACCCGCACGAATGACTGCCTGGTGGCTACTCTAATCTAACAGGCAATATCTAGTGACGCCAAGAGTATTTCAGCCAGGTCTGCCGCCTTGTAAAGAGAACCCAGACTGTGCTGTGTTATGTAATTTTCTTTTGTTCTCGAAACTGGCCCAGTGCACTGCTGGCGTCTTTTTAAATGTGGTCAGATTGGCATGCAGTGGTATTGGATCGCTCATCACTGGAGCACTGGAGTGCTTTTGTCTGCGGTTGTAATCTGCTCGCGCTGAATGCCACAAACAGTGGTATAATCATTAAAAATAATGACGGATTTCCTCTGCTATTGACAACTGAAACAAATGTTGGCAATTCCAAGCAGCCCGGTCTTTTGTTCTGAGCACAGTCTTTTGTTACAAGGCCCAGCTGCTTTGTCGGCTTTGCATATAAAGCCAATGTCTCTGGTACCGGGTACCCCGGCATGAAGAGGTTATCAACAGGAGGCTACTATGCTGGCTGAAGTCCTGCCATTTGTGGAACACCAGGACAGCCAATAACAGCCCTGACAAGGTTATTTGTGACTCTACGGGTAGTACATGTCATTTAAGACAAGGCTTCTTGGTTGTTCATTTCAAACCAGACCCCATGAGTTAAATGACTACTGTAAGAGGGATCTATCGGCACATGCACCATACCTTCTGTTCCTCTTCGTTGGTTTTAACTTTGATTATCCTGGTTTCACTCGGCCAATCGATGAACTTGTTTTGGAACAGCACCGTCTCCATGTGTTCTGTAGTCTGCAAATCAATACCCTCATATCATTCACAAGTTTCCAATGTACAGTATTTAACATTTACAGCACTATGACAAAACTGCCACATATGCCTTGTGTTCCGTTGATCACCCCTCCCCCCAACTTACCTTTCCAAACAGCGCCCACTCTGGTCGGTCCTCGCTATGCATAGGCTTCTGTGAGTGTCCAGGCCACAGCGGGTTGATGTCAAACTCTCGATAGTCATAGCCCCGCTGCCAGACAATCTCGGCCAGCTTGGCAGCAGTTTGACGCTCCTTGCTGGATGTCTGCTTCCCTTGCCATATGTACAGCTCAGAACCAAAATCAAACACATAGATCTGGAGAAATCATAACCCCAAAACCATAAAAAAAAAACAAAAAGTTAAAAATTTACCTGCATGAATGTGTGAAGTGCATTTACAATTTTTTACACGTGGGTTAACATTGATTAATCTGTTTAAATCTGTGCCACAAGTTAATTTATATATTGTTAGGGACACAACTGTTTCAACATTTTACTAATTGAGTTTGCAATAAAAAGTACAAAATATTTTAATGTTTCTTCAAAAGTGTTGACTGCGATATGGATTTGTTGATACTGGAAAGCATATTTTACAAATTTCAATATAATTTCATTCCAATATATTCCTTTCATATGTATCTATTCTACAACTCTTATAATCCAATGAATTTCAACTTAATCAACTGCAGGTTTTAAACACTTTAAGATGGGGATGAGAAAGACTGTCTGAAAACTTTTAAAGTTATTATTATTATTATTATTATTTATTTGACCATCACAAGAACAGACAAGGCAAACTTGAACAAAAATATATAAAAAACACCAAAATCACACGTACAAGTAAATATAAGCAGTAGCAGGGACCGGGGACGAAATAGAACAGATTGAATTACATGTCTGATAAGAAAGCCTGCTTGAGGGCCCTGAGGAATCGAGGGAGTCGGGAAACAGCTGAGTCTTTGATAAGTGGAAGTAAAGAATTCCACATTCTAGGGAAACTGCGCATGGGGGAATGAAACAAAGCTTGTGTGCGGGAAGGAAGATGGCGGAATGTGAGCAAATCTGGGTGGTAAATAACTCAAGCTGTTTCTTCTCGTTAACTGAAAAAAAAAACAAGGGAGCAAGTTTGAACTCTGACCTCATTAGTGTTGAGCATGGAGAATTTAGGCGGCGACCCCCAGTAATCATCACAGGGTACCAGTGACTCCCCTTCCACCTTGTAAACCATGTTGGTCTCCGTGATATAGATTTCATGCAGCTCGTCCTCATCGGCACGGGCGATATCTACAAGTATGAAAACAGACACCAAAGATTATTTCCAAGTTTTCAGTTCTTCTTGGGTTTACTTGCTCATTATAACTTGGTTCCACAAATCCACTCAAATATACAGAGTACATGCAAATGCACAGGTCTTAAGAACCCAAGTACAGCATTTTGAAGCATTTCTTGTGGTTGTGCAGATGCTAGGGGATGGGGTGCTGTGCACTCTATGGCGCAAGTATGAAACTGGGCAGCCAGTATCACACCAGGCTAGACATCATTACAACTTTACAACAGAATGTAGGCCTAATGCATGCACAGCAAGTACAGTGGGCAGGAACTCCATGAAATTAACAATCAACATTTTGATCAGAAGTAAACTGTTACCAGGGTCCCCAAACAGATTTCACACTTTCAAGGTATACATAAACATAATTTCATTTTTCACAAAAATTCACCCTATAGTAAATTTTAAAACGTTGGTACAATTTTATACACGGAAATTCCCTCTTTTGAAGGTTTACAATTTTCCTGGGTGGTAGAAGAGATAGTAATGGAATATTCAGCTGGACATGACACAGAAAAAGTACAAGAGCACCTACCTTTGATATCATCCTTTCCTCCAAGTATCTCAATGAATCGCTTCCAGTCTCTACTAGATCCCAGGGGCCTGCCTTTGGACTCTTCAATGGTGACAACTGAGGGTGCCTTGCAACCAAGGTCTCTTGTTGTCTGAATGAACTGGGCAATTTCTGATGCCTAGAGCAAAAGAAAAGACAACACTGTTAAAACACAGATTCAAATATAATTTTGAAAATTATTGCTATTTGTGATGAATTTGCAGGAATTTAATTGTCAAATCAGAACCCGATTGTCATAATTATCTTTAAAGTGCACTTCACACAGACAATGAACACACAGAAGAACTGTAATAAGGGAAACTGTTAGATCGAAGCAATGGCTAACCTTTGACCTCTCAATGACATTGGAATACTCCCCGATCCATAGGAAACACTCTTTGGGTGTGACCAGCACAAAGCAATCACCGGTATTCAGCATTTCAGCTGAGGGTTCGATTAATCGCACTTGAACAAAACGTCTGCCTGTTAACACAAGGACGGAAAAGTTGAAGGTTGAAGTATAACGGCAATGGTATGAACCCAAAATGGGATCTAACCTAACAAGTATGAGTCAGGATGCCACACTCAATGATACATCAAAACAAGGAGCTCGGTTTGCTCTTCTCAACATGAACTAAACCAGAATTACTGAAAACAAAAATGGCCAGAAGACTCATTTTGTGGAATCTGGTCCAAAATATTCCTTCTTCACTTGTGACAACATGTGTTATGAAGCGACTAACAGAGAGGTGTTGAAGCACTTGTTAGTTATCATTGGTTAGAGTCCAACGGAGGCCATCGCACCTTTGATGTGGAGCAGCATGAGGTCCTTATAGGGCAAGAGTCGAGAGAGTTTGCCCTCCATCTCCCTGACATCTTTGACCTTCTGTAGCTTCTGTAGACCCTTGCTGATGTCCTCCTTACTGGCCAGTCCCTTCCGTGCTGACTGGTGTAGCCTGGACTGAGACGACACTGGGTAATGGCCAAACACAAAATGTCAGCCACTTTTTCATATAAAAGTTTTCTTTACATCTCTGAATTCAGACTTGGACTTTTTGATAAACTCAACTGAAATTCTGTACAGACGTTCACAAACTCATCACATTTCACTTTCCTCTAAATGCAGTGAAGTAAAAAGCAAACCAAAATACTTCTTACAAACTTTCAAACAGTCTGGTAGCTTCAGAACAACACACAAGCCTGGTATAGAGATCTGCAGATACTAGTGTGATGCTGATGTATATGTATATGTACTGTATTTCCCCCCTCCCCGAGACAAACACGATTCTTGGTATCAGTTTTACAGGAGTACAATCAATCATGGGCACAGGTGGAATTTGCTGGAATGTTTGACTCTAGACCAAATTTCACGGACACGGGCAGAACTAAAGAATACTTCAGATCAATGTTATGTGTACTGTACCGTAAATGCTAAACCATTTTAGAGGATAATTGATGTATTTTACTATGTAACTATCTTCTCAGCTATACTGGCCCCAGTCAAGTGCAGGAATAAAGAAAATGGTTGCTTACATTCCACCCGTCTGGATCTCATCACAGCTGTCCTGTCAACCGTCTGGGTCTCTATGACTTCCTTCTTCACCTCCTCATACTCTGTGACGATGTTGCTGCGCGTCTTCAGAGCTCGGATGGGGTTCTTGGCACCGTGGGCCCGCCTCTTGGGTCTCAGTGACATGCGATTCCGTGACATTGCTGTAAGCCTTTGTTGTATAATTAACATCAAAACAATGATCAATGTAATGTCAACTCTTCCAAATAACTGTCAAAATTTCAATTCTGAATCAGCATATTAGCAAGCATTTGCCCGGGATGCATGGAAAACACATTGACAGGAATTACAGACAGGCTGCTTTTGCCAAAATATTACCAATTCACTTCATATTCCAATGATCTCTCTTTTCCTGTCCCTCTGGTGTACAAGTTATAAAACACAACAATTTCCTGTCTTTTGCCTTTTGGCCACAACTTTGGCAAACCCTCCACAGCTGGTTTCTGGCCCCTTCTCTCGTAGCCATTAGTAATACTCTGTGTATGAAACTGGGCCCTCTAGAAAGACTGGGCTGAGACTAGGGGATGTTAGGAGATGAAGAATATCCCCAGAAGCATAGTGGTACAACACAAGGGTTGTAATGATAACAAGAAAATACTGTGACTTTCCAGCATTTTTAACTGCTATTGGCATGAATTTTCTCACAAATGACTGTGTGAATCATGCATTTATTTCATTTTGTAGAAGTGCTAAAGGGTAGCAAATCATTACGGATTCTTCCTCTGAAAAGCACAATGTGAGAGTAACAAAAACCCTAAAATCTGGAAAAAATAAATAAAAAAACACATCCCAAGAAGAATTTTGACCAGGGTACTCTACATGTAAGCGTAATCTAACTTTCTTACTTGGGCAGTGGGACTTCTGACAAGGCATCAAAATCTGACAGTGCCACATCGTCCAGGGAGGCCTTGCGATCCTTCGGCACCATGGCCGTCTCGGTGACAATGGTGGAACTGCTGCTGAAGAACTCAGCAAAGGTCTTGTCGTCTGGCTTCATGATGGCAATTTTCTTCTTGACGATGCGAAAGCCAGACTCCGACTCAGATTCGGTGGTTGTGGCGTTGGTGGACGAGCTCTGGCCTTCTGGCTGTTTCCCTAGAGACAACACAACAAAAGTGTTGCGATTTTGTGTCCATTTTGAAGGATCATTCTGAACAAGGATTTGCATTCGTCAAATAATAAACTGACATTCTAAATTCTATTTTTTAATCACCATTTCAATTCTAACAACATACCTATGCATCAAAAAATGGCTACATGCATACACTGTTAGCTCTTCTGTTTCTCAAACAATCAAAATCTTTGACGCCATTCTTACACAAGGTGTCTAGACTGCACTGATTTTTACACGCCGTTTGAACAAATGCATTCGTTGTGGATTTGTTGCAATGTATTTGATACCCACAATGCAAACAATTACCCACAATGCAATGCCTTCTTTACCTGAGACACTAATGGTTTTACTACTTGTGCTTTCGCTTCTATCCTCGTTCCCATCACTCCCATTTTTCTCCTTATCCTGTGGTTCCTTTGTCTCAGTGCCCTTACCGTCAGCCTCCTTTTTATCACCGAGTGTCACACGACCTGTAGCAGAAAGGAACTGATAGTTGGTAATTTGGCAAAATCAACTGTCTTTTCAGTACTGATCTTGGTAATGCCAGTGCGGGGAGAACTGTGGGCAAAAGCAATGAGTGATGACAATGATAATTTGCAAGAGGTCTCAAATGTTGACGTTTATTACAACCAGACATTTCTTCCGATATAAATGTAACTTCTACATTTCCACTGGGATGTGTACACACAAACCCATGTGTAACAGCATTCCCAACCAAGCCATTTGACATCTTAACCAACTTGTTGTCACAGTAAAATCAGGTGCTGGTAGAAAGGTGAAGTTGGTTGTATTCTCTGGTATTGAGTTGCCACCATGAACATTTGAGGACTGGGGTTGGTTAGGGTGGGTCAGGTTGCAGCTGCAAGAGCCTGCTACAGCAGAGTGGTGCGATTAGGTTGAGCCAAACCTACAAAGCCATTTAACCCTTGACTGAGACACAACACCAGCTTTCCAAAAGAAAACAACCTGAATTGAAGCTTTGAGCCTGAATTCACAACAGCATTTGACCCTGGCCTACCAACCTACGCAGTCACACAAATTCTGTCTTGTGTGAACTGGATTATAACATTTAATCCATTTAGTCCCGCACGCTGGCAATGCCCACTAGGTGAAGCAATACTATTATGAATATTTATGCCAACAGTTAGCAATGCGTGACTTATAGTCTCTGTAATAATAGCGCCATAGTCAAAGTACTCCCACACAAGCTTGAGGACACTGGCAAATACCAATCAGGGCCTTCTTGAAAACTACTTCCGCTACATGTATAAATGTCTTCGAAAAACTTGAAAAGTATCAGTGCAGGGGCAGTTTTTAGTACGTGGTCTAAATAAAATTGCCAAAAAAAATCCATTAAAAAACTCTAGGGCATCAATGGGACAACATACAAAGCAGCCTCACTGGTGGATTTGAGTGGGAAGTAGCCAATACCTGCTGCGGATATGTAACTGATAGGAAACATCTTTTTCAACTGCATTTATAAAAATAGAGATGCTACCAGTACACATACTTCTTCAAAATCCACTGGGAGGTTAAGGAGATTTTTGCAAGAATTGAGAAAGGTACAAATGTTGGATCAAGCCGTTATTTTCACTTGAGGAATGATGCCAAAATGAACATGTAAGTTCAAGGGTTTGGGGTAGGCCTCAAGGTCTAGTATTAGTGATCACAAAGAATCTTTGTCAGATTTGGCATGATTGGGGTTAAAAATTGAAGTACAAAGAATGAGGCACTCGTCTCCGAGAATGATCTCGGCGGATTCTGAAAGGCTGCTACAATACTGATTAGGTCACTGAGGTTTAGCCTTTACCTCTAAACGAGCCCCCTCTCTTCACCCGAGCACTGCCGGCCCTTTTCAGCTGGGGTGATGTCTCCACCACCTCCTTGCCGGCTTTGGACATCTTGCCCGAGACGGTGAACTGGGTGACATCTTTCTCCTCCACTCGCTTCTTCCAGGAGGTCTGGCTGTTCTGAATCAGCTCCATTCTCTTGGAGATGCTGCAGGAAGCCAGATCAGGATCCTACAGAAAACAGGAAATATTTTAAGATATCAAAAACAATCGCATGTGGTTTTACATGAACCCAAGGCCAAGTTACGATAAAAAATAGCTGTTCGTCTTAGAATTTTGCAGGAGATAAAGAGGAAGCTCTTTGTTCTTTTAAGACAGCAGATCGACAATCTCGACTCCTTTTGCTTATGAACGTACTTCTGTGTCTCAAGGAGCCACCCCCCTTTTGGACTTGCTTCAAACTTGCACATTTTGAACTAGGGGCTTACCAAAATAATCATCCACCCCACTTTTCAAGTCACTGACCACGTGTACATATATATGCACACCCATAGCCTGTACCGTCGACTCCACACTAGCTAGCGTCACGATCTCACCTGGGATGGAGGCCGCGCTGAGCTTTCAGAAACCCCTCCCTCCCACAAGTAACAAGTATGCGTTAAGTTACTTGAAGATAAATTCAGAAGACATTCCAGATACCGTCCAGCAGCACAGTAAACAATCAAGATTTATATGTACATGTGCATGTACTTTTTGAAATACATAAATTGATATGGCTGCAGAAAGGTATCATTTACAAAAATACATGTACCCTCTTGACATTGTACAATGGAATAAGATCATATGTAAATGTATGTAGGTGGTCACATCAAAAGCATTCTTTATAAAAATTTCAATTCAATTATCACATTTCTGCAACTGTGATGCATAAATGTACACATGTGTATGGACATACTACATGTACATGCATCAGTATGTATGCAGTACGTGAATTGACAGCTTTTGACAGTCATATTCTGGTAAAGAAAATAAAATTCTTAAATCTAAACCACTACTGAGAAATAATCAACACCCACTGTGCATGACTTGCCCCCACAAAAAAAACTTTACAGACTAAACGTAATTAAAACCTTGCTTTTAATGATGAAAGTAATGCTTGCCGAGAGTGAAATTGAACACAGTGCTAACACATCACTTGCGAAGTGTGCCATTTACATGTACAGGCATCAAAGTCCCACAAGTTGTCATACGTGTACACATGTACATAGTGTCATCCACTTTCAGTTGAACAAAATGGTCAGAAAATACTGGTATGTACATGTATGTGTCACCACAATTTCAATATATATATACATGTACTTTATTCAACATTGAACAAAGCCGGCATGAATTGCAAAAGGTGTCAATGATCACGAATGCAATGCAATGGAGAATGGTCATCATGACTAATATCACTTAGTCTGAAATCGGGAACAACCAAATACCCTGTGGTTTGCCTTTTTCTTGCTTGGTCATTTTAAGTTGACAGATGCACACTTTCCAATCATACAATCTGCCCATGAAGTCATGTACTTGGCACTCAATGTTTGCTTGAAGGTTTGCTTTTGAAGTGTGCATATAAATGTACAGTACATGTGAAAGGAGAGCAGAAGTGCAGAAATACCGAATACACAAATACTTCACCAGTGGGATAAACAACTCACTGACTTCCCAACAGTTTGTAATCTGTTTACAGTACCAGTTAACTTTGACACTTCTGAGTGAATAGCCCATTTCAGGAAAAAAAATTCTTTTGTCAAGAGATTTTGACAGCCGCACAGGGTCAGCATTCTACTCCTTTCAACTCTACTGGAAGAACTGAAAATGCGTCAATTTTTTTTTTGGGTGGAATCAATGTTGCCAAATCAGAGCTTGGTCCTCTTTCAATTAAAATAACAGCAGAATGTAAGTTCAACACAGGAGGAAACACCTTTGAAAGGAATGATGCATTGAGCTTAACATCAACATAAGGTGGTACTGGTACATACATGTATGTACATGTACACTGACTTTGTCTTCAGTGAGGAAAGAAATCTTACAAGGAACATTAATGTGGAGGAAATGTCCAGCCAGACAGATGCTAAAGCTCTGTTACACAAAATATTCTGGAAGTCTGCACATTTTGGGGGGGGGAGATATTAACACAAGTCAGAAAAATTGCACAACTGTTAAAATCCGTAACCTTTTACAGGAGCGTATAGAGACCTCATTCCATTCCTAAATTAAATACCGTGGCCTTAAACCTCTAGAGCCCTTCCAAACTATTATGGGCCTCACTTATATGTACTTCTAGCCACCTCCCCCTCCTAATCAAATAAGGAGACAGGATGTGTACCTTTCGCCTTTTCAATACTATAATAGCCATCCTTTCCCATGCAAGTAACCCCTCCAAAAACCTTCATCTCAGAATGGGTAGAAGCTGGACAGCTCGGTGTATGGTACATGGCGACACACCTCTAAACCTAATTGGACTAAGTTAATGATGCCGGTTCTAAAGGTAAAACAATGCAATCAACTGTTAAAAAACAACCAGTCAATATGGGAGTTGTTCCTGTATCCATGTATGATGCTAAAGCTTGTAGTTTACAGGCATGCAAATTTGACACCAAAAACGAGAAAATTCCAATCTTTACAAGACTTGGTACAGTGTTGTCCAATTTTCAATGGCATGAATGAGAAGTGAAAACCAGGAAATCGGCTGATCCCAGGAAAAGCTGCATGCCCGTATTAATATGGAAGTGCCAGTTCCTGCACCTTCGGCGTGAGACAGCTATTGGCACTGTGGCCCAGTCATTTTCCTGACGTGATCTGAAAGAGAAATCCACAATGTACTGACAGAAACAGCAAATGGCACTTACGTCATCCGTCAGTCTGCTGCTTTCACTGCCGGGCACTTTCAGGAAATCTTTCAGATTGGAGCGTGGCGAGTCATTGTATTTGTTGATGCGCTTTTGCCAGTCCTCTTGTCCGCTCTTCTGCAAGGCTGATAATCTGCAATAATCCATAATGCAAAGGCACATTAGATCTCGGGTGTCGGGCCAGAATTACTGTAGTTCACAACCGATGGCATAAATGCCAGTGTTAGCTCTGCTGCCTAGAGACAATGGTAGTAAAACATTTTCTGTAATCCGAGTTTGGCTTTCAGAATCTCTCTTCTCTTTTTCAAGATTCTGCAAGGTGTATTGGTATTTCACAGCCCATGTATGACCAGTTGTTAATGTAGGGAACTCGGCTTTGCAGTGACATTTTCTGTCAAAAAACCTTGAACACATTACATATACACATACAGTATGTGCGTCACTTTGAGGTACTGTACTGTGACTCAACATTTGGGGTTTTATTTGTTTCAGCATGTTTTACAATGAGCCTGTAAGAAAGAAGTGCACAAAACCATGAAAAATGATTCTCATACAAACACTCACTCCAAGAGACAAAATTTTGTTTTTCACGACTGGGTAATTTGTCAGAGCATTTGTTTCTTAAATTTACTGCTGGTTGAACACAAAAAGATATATACCTTGAAAGTTGAAAAAAAAAAATCAGAATTACCAGTAGACGCACTGAAACTCTAATTTCGAACTATTTTCCCTCACCCAACTCAAAAATGTGTATGTATATTAATCATAAAAAAGGAGAACAGTGTCACTGAAACGACTTTGCAGCATAACACAATGCCAATGTCCCATGGGAATTGCAAACCAATCAACAAAGGCCATGGGAACACACCCACCTCTCAGCAATAGAGCCTGAAGTCTTGACCGGCTCTGTCAGTTGCCGCACCTTGGCCATCTCCTCGGGGGTGACGGGCTGTGTTTTGTAGCGTCCTGGGTCTGGGGATTTCAGTCGCCGCGGAGACAGAACACGCTCCTGGACATTCTTAGCTCCCTTGTCGGACGGGGATTTTGATCTGAAAATATTACGAAGAGAGCCAATAATGAAGAGGATAAGGATCAGCCGTGACTGACAGGGAAATTAATTTAAAATCCTCAGTATGGAACTACACTGCTTTGGGCATCGTATGTCAATGCTTTTGTTGAACTTACCAGAATATGCAAGAGTGAATATTCAAACCATGACTGCAAAAATAAGCAAGCATGTATATGTACAATATTTCAGATGAGATTAATTACAGTAACCCTTACAGAGTCCATAATTTTCTGATTTCAACATGATTATACACCTTTGGCGATTAGGGTTAATCAACTAATAACAGCGCGTTCCCGCTTGAATTGGGAAAAGGTGGATCTTGATCCAGCATTTTGGTGTGATCGTTATCTTACCGCAACGAAACTGCAAGTCGCGTTCCCACTAGCACTTGATCCACCTTTTCGGACGGAAATGTCGAACCCGAAAGGTCAATGAGTTCGGTATTGCGCATGTGCTAGCTTGCTGAGTGCGCTCTGTGGCAGTGCGGCGTGCTGGGGCAGCATGCGTGTGACCCTGCGGTGTTTTGGGTGCGGAGTTCTACTGATGTGACGACCTTGAATCGGACCGAATGTTCAGTCTAGTACGTTGTCTCTTCAAACTTTGCTTCCGTTTTTGATACTCTGTCACATGGTGCGGGCTATACGCTAACACGGAATTAGTTTTTGATGGAAAGCAACTGACATTACACAAATGAAAAAGGTTAAGAAATGGACGAATGCACAACAAAAATTGTGAAAGGGCAAGGCACATATCGCGGCATGCATGCATTGCGCATGCGCGGTGACACATTTTGCTAGCCCGTAGTTCAGCAGTTGTTCATTGTGTATGCTGTGCACGTTAAAAATTTCACCAGCTACATGCCAAAAAACATATTTCTTTGTTCATCAGACTGCCAAAGTTTCGCGCCACTCAAGCACGGACGGATGTTGACAGGTCAAATTGCCAGATCAGATCCACCTTTTGCGTTCCCATCTGATCATGATCCACCAATTGTA